CACAGAGAGGAGCCGGCTGGCTGGCACGGGGTGGCAGTGGGGTGGGGCTGGCTGTGTGGGTCTCATTTTTCTGGCTGAAAGAAACCGTGTCCTTTGTCCCCAGGTCCCAGGGGGTGTCTCTCTGGGGGTGGGGGGTGGCAGGGAGCCCCCTGGCCAGAAGAGCCCGGGTGGGGGTACGAGCACCAGATAGCGAGTCCCTGGCCCGGGCCTGCGGACAGAGAGGACATTGTTGGGGTGGAGGCAGGGCTGTCGACAAAGCTGCCAGCTGTGGTGGAGCCCAGCCGCCAGGCCCTTGGCCCCCTGCCCCCCGCCCCCGGCCTCCCTCCTCCCCAGGCCGCCAAGCCTCAACGGTGTCCCTCCCACTCAGGACAATGCCCCCCACAGCCGTCTTGTGCCCGTCACCACTGCCCTGGGCCGGCTGAACGCGTGTCGCACTGCCCAGGAGACCCATCCGTTACTCCCTTCCGAGGCGGTAAGTGCCCGGGGCCCCTGTCCGCAGAGATGTCCCCGGGAGGGCAAGGCAAGGCAGGCCGAGCAGTCCAGGGGAGCCTGGGCCTCGAGGCCCCAGATGCTGTCCCTCTACGCCCTCAGCCACACGCCCCAGACATGGCCGCCGATATCCCGGGTCTAGAGGAAATGCCCCTGTCCCCAAGCCAGGCCTGACCTTCCTGTCTGTGTTCCTGAGATAAGGGGCTTGGGGCCCTTCCTCGGGGCTCGGCCTCCAGCTGGCACGCCCGCCAGGGCCCGGCCTTGTGTCTCTGCTGCCAAGCTGCAGGGCACTGGGTGACAGCGGGCCTGCTCCTGGCTGGCATGTGCCACGTGCTCAGCTGTGCAGGACCCTAGCTCAACTGAGGGCCTGGCTTCTGTCCCCTTCTCTGTGGTTCCTGTGCCCAGGAGCTCTGTCCGGCGTGGGGTCTCTTTCTGTGCCTCTCTCGCCTGATCACCTCGGCAGCCAGCTGGGAGGTGGGGTGGAGGGCATGCAGCAGGGGCCCCGCTCAAGCCTTCTCTGGAGGCTTGGGGTCCCCACCTGGCCCACGGCAGATACCGTTAGTCTGAGCTCTGAATGGCTGCACGGGTGTAGGTGGGGGTGCCCGTGCCTTGCTCCCTCCCCCTGACCGCCCTCTCTTCAGTCAGGCTCCCCCCTCTCTTTTCTCTCACGCCTCCCCGTTAACACCGCCAGGGGCTGGGGCCCACAGGCCAGGGAACAGGCCTCCCCCTCCCCCCCCACCTCGCGTTGTCTCTTGGTGCCCCCCCCCGCCACCGTGTCCCCCAGCCCCCACGCTCTCTGGCCCTCGGGTCTCCGCCAGTCCCTGCTCTGACCAGCTCCCAGCCCTCTGCAGCCGGCCCTGTACTCCTCTGCCCTGCAGTTCTCTGGCTGCCTCAGTTTCTCCCTGGCTCTCTCTCCCTCCCCGGCACTCCTTCTCCCCTCTGGCAGGGGTCCCTCTCTACAGCTGGCCCTGCCTCCCCCATATCCCCCGACCAGTACGCCCTGCTTCTCCCCTGCACTGCCCTCCTCTCCTGCCCTTTCCTGTCTCTGTCATTCATTCGGAGCCCTGCTGTTCGCATTCCCCTGGCTCTTCATGATCTGCCCCCTCCTTCAACAATCTAGACGCATAAAAAGTAGGAGATGAAAGCAATTCTTTCCTGGGGCACACATGTGTGCCCCCCACCCGCCTTCTCCCCGCGCCTTGGATACTCTCTCTCTCTGCTTCTCTCCGTCTCCCTCTGTCTCTGCCTCTCTCCTCTCCCTCTCTTTCTCATCTGTCGCTCTTCTGGATTCTTCCCTCCCTCCCTCCCTCCTTCCTTCCCTCCCTCCGGTGCTCTCTCTCCACCCCTCTTCCCTGGGGCCTTTCTCCGCCCTGACGCTGCGGGCCTCATTTGGCTCTGCCCCCCTCCCGGCCCCCCCCCCACCAGGTGCCCGTGATGGCTGCCCGGCGCCCCTTCAGCCCCCGCCTCCTGCCCGTGCTGCTGCTGTACCTGCCGCTGCCCCTGACTCGGGCCCGTCCCTTCTCTGCCCCCAACACCACCTTCAACCACTTGGCGCTGGCTCCGGGCCGCGGCACGCTCTACGTCGGGGCGGTGAACCGCCTCTTCCAGCTCAGCCCTGAGCTGCAGCTCGAGGCCGTGGCCGTCACCGGCCCCGTCTTCGACAGTCCCGACTGCGTGCCCTTCCGCGACCCGGCCGATTGCCCGCAGGCCCGGCTCACCGACAACACCAATCAGCTGCTGCTGGTGAGCAGCCGGGCCCAGGAGCTTGTGGCCTGCGGGCAGGCGCGCCAGGGCGTGTGCGAGAAGCGCGGCCTCGAGGACGTGGCGCAGGTGCTGTACCAGGCCGAGGACCCGGGGGACGGGCAGTTTGTGGCCGCCAATGCCCCAGGGGTTGCCACGGTGGGCCTGGTGGTGCAGGCGCCGGGCCGGGACCTCCTGCTGGTGGCCAGAGGCCTGGCGGGCAAGCTGTCAGGCGGGGTGCCGCCCCTGACCGTGCGCCAGCTGGCCGGGCCGCAGCCCTTCTCCAGCGAGGGCCTGGGCCGCCTGGTGGTGGGCGACTTCTCCGACTACAACAACAGCTACGTGGGGGCCTTCGCCAACGCCCGCTCGGCCTACTTCGTCTTCCGCCGCCGCGGGGCCCGGGCGCAGGCCGAGTACCGCTCGTATGTGGCCCGCGTCTGTCTGGGGGACGCCAACCTTTACTCCTACGTGGAGGTGCCCCTCACCTGCCTGGGCCAGGGCCTCATCCAGGCTGCCTTCCTCACGCCAAGTACGCTGCTGGCGGCGTTCGCCGCAGGCCCCGGCGGGGCCCGGGCGGCGCTGTGTGCCTTTCCGCTGGCCGAGCTGGATGGGAGCATGGAGCACGCCCGGCGCCTGTGCTACACGGCTGGCGGCCGGGGCCCCGGCGGCCTGGAGGAAGCCACCGTGGAGTACGGAGTCACGTCCCGCTGCGTTGCCCTGCCCGCCGTGAGTGGCCCCTCTCACCCTCCGCTTGGCTCCTGCCGGCTCGCGCGCTCTCTCTCTCTCTCTCTCTGTCTCTCTCTGTCTCTCTGTCTCTCTGTCTCTCTGTCTCTCTGTCTCTTTCTCTGTCTCTCTGTCTCTCTCTCTGTCTCTCTGTCTCTCTGTCTCTCTCTCTCTGTCTCTCTCTCTCTCTGTCTCTCTCTCGGCCAGCCTGGCCTGCCTCTCTGGCCCCGGCCCTCCGCACTGTGTCTCAGGCCGAGGCAGGGACTGCCACATGTTAGTCCCGGGCTGTGGGCGGCTGGGCGCTGTCGCGTGGCAGTCGCCCGTGCCCTCCTGCCTAGGGGATGTCGAGGAGGGGCCCAGCTCCTAGGGGCTCTCGGCCCGCTTCTTTTGGTCTTTCTTCCTCTGAAGTGTCAGCTAGTCCCGCCATGGGGCTGGGGGGGGCCCCCGACCACTCTGCCCTGGGGTCCCCCTGGGCTCCCCGGCCCTGCCCTGCAGCCTTGACTCCCTCTGGGCCCCGGGAAGTCACCTCCTGCCTCTTGCCGGGATTGATTCTCCCCTCCCGGGCCGCGCAGGACTCCCCGGAGTCATACCCCTGCGGCGATGAGCACACCCCCAGCCCCATTGCCGGCCGCCAGCCCCTGGAGGCCAAGCCTGTGCTGCAGCTCGGGCAGCCCATCAGCGCCGTGGCAGGCCTCCAGGCAGACGGGCACACGATCGTCTTCCTGGGGGACACCCAGGGTCAGCTGCATAAGGTGAGGTGAGGGGGCTGCCCTGGTCCCGGACCCCTGACACCAAGGCCTCTACCCTGCTGGGCTGAGGCCCTGGCTTACTGGCTTGACTGGGTGTGGCCCGGCCCCGCTGCGACTCGGGGACGCCGCAGGTACCTTCCATGTGGCTGGCCGGGTGCCACCTCCTGGGGGCTCCTAGTTGCATGAGTTGGGATGACTGCCCAGGAGGCTCCTGGGCAGCCCCAGTCTCTCCAGCCAATGGCGGAAGCCGACGGTCAAGGTGGACAGGGAGGGATGCCATGGGGTAGGGGTGGGCAGTGCCTGGTCCCCAGAGCCAGCCTGGCCCCAGAAGTCTCTCTGAGGCAAAGTCCGGCCTCCTCCTGACCTGTTCGTCTCCCTGCGGCTGCCCTTCTGGCCCTGGCACCAAGGCCCGTACCCAGAGTGGCTGGGTGATGGTGAATGGGGGAGGGGAGGTGAGCAGAGCAGGAGGCCCAGGGGCCTGCGCCACCGTCCGTGGCGTGGCCCGGCCTCCCTGGTCCAGCAGGAAGGAGAGCTGGCTGTGTGAGACAGGATGCTCCCTGGTAGCCCCAACCAAGAGGAGGGCACATGCCCTGAACGGTCGGCCTGTGGCCATCTTGAGAGCAGGCCTTGTCGTCGTCCCTCCAGGTCTTTCTCAATGGCTCCCAAGGCCAGGTGTACCACTCCCAGCAAGTGGGGCCTCTGGGCTCGGCCATCAGCCCAGACCTGCTGGTGGACAGCAGTGGCAGCCACCTCTATGTCCTGACTGCCCAGCAGGTGAGGCTTGTCACCGGGGGTGGGGGGCACACAAGGCCCGAGTCCCTGCACCCACTACCTCTGTCCCTCACTGACCATCCAGGTGGACCGGGTCCCCGTGGCAGCCTGCCCCCAGTTCCCTGACTGTACCAGCTGCCTTCAGGCCCGGGACCCACTGTGTGGCTGGTGCGTCCTCCAGGGCAGGTGAGCACAGGGCCTGTGCCCAGACTTGGGCCAACAGGTAGCATGTGCAGGGAGGGCGGCCCTGGAAGCAGCCCTGGGCCTGCCATGAGGCCAGCTCGGCTTCCTGAGGTGGAGGTGCAGGGCCTCCGTGGAGGCCCTCCATCCCGCGCCTCGCGGCCCAAGCTGCTCTCTTCTCATTTCCCAGCCCCACCCCCAGGCAGGCCTCTGTCGCCTCTCCCAGGTGTTCCCCGGCCCACCTCAGCTCCAGGAACCCCTTATGGCAACCCTCCCCTCTGCAGCACTGTCAAGGCCAAAGCCCGCACATCGGCCACGAAGCCCTGTCTGCTTGACCCCTTCCGCTTGAGCACAGTCCCTTTCCGTTCCCCCCCCCCCCCCCCCCCCCCCCCCCCCGCCTCCGCTCACGCGCTCCGGCTGGGCCTTCCTCCCAGCCCTCTTGCCACCCATCACCTGGGGAGCCCGAGACCCACCTGGTGACCCAGTGGGCCCCTGCCCCACAGGTGTACCCGCAAGGGCCAATGTGGGCGGGCCGCCCAGGCCAACCAGTGGCTGTGGAGCTATGAGGACAGCCACTGCCCGCACGTGCAGAGCTTGCTGCCAGCCCAGCGGCCCCGCCAGGAGCCAGGCCAGGTAAGCTGCCTGCCCCTGCCTGTCTGTGGGGGCCACCCATCAGCTGCCCCCCGTCCTCTGCTCCCACCGCGCTCGGCCCGAGCTCCAGCTCCTTCGGTGAGAGGCACCGCTCCCCCCCTACCGAGAAGCCCCTGCCTGCTCTGTTTTCCTTGCATGTGTCCCAGGTCACCTTGTCTGTCCCCCGGCTGCCCACCCTGGCCATGGATGAATACTTCCATTGTGCCTTTGGGGACTATGACAGCTTGGCTCACGTGGAAGGTCCCCACATAGCCTGTGTCACCCCTCCCCAAGACCAGCTGCCGCTTAACCCTCCAGGCACAGGTGAGGGGCCCCTGGGGCAGGAGGCTGGGGGCCAGGGCAGGAGCCAGAGGGGCAGGAGCCCCGTGACCCGCCCTGCTGCCACCATCCCCTCCCAGACCACATCACCTTGCCCCTGGCTCTGATGTTTGAGGATGTGGCTGTGGCTGCCACCAACTTCTCCTTCTATGACTGCAGTGCTGTCCAGGCCTTGGAGGTGGCTGCCCCGTGAGTGCTGGGCCTGGCTGCTGGGTAGGGGTGGCGACCCCTGATGGTGCCCAGCCTGAGCAGCCCCCTGCCCCTCCAGGTGCCGCGCTTGTGTGGGCAGCCTCTGGCCGTGCCACTGGTGCCCCCAGAGCAGCCGCTGTGTGTACGGGGAGCACTGCCCAGAGGGCGAGGGCACCGTCTACAGTGCCCAGGAGGTGGGTGGGCCCCGCCCCCACCCCCCCTGCCGCCACAGACCCACCCCACGCTGGGCCCTGCCCAGGCCCCTCAACTTCTGAAGGGCTAAAGGGGCTCCTTTCCCCAGGTGGATGTCCAGGTGCGTGGCCCAGGGGCTTGTCCCCGGGTGGAGGGCCTGGCAGGTCCCCTCCTGGTGCCTGTGGGTTGGGAGAGCCGTCTGGCCCTGCATGTGCGGAACCTTCAGCATTTCGGAGTGAGCAGGGGATGGGGATGGTGGTGGGCGGGGGGGGGGGGGCATGGCGCTGACTGTGCCCGGGGTCCTGACACTGTCCACTCCCAGAGCCTGCCCGCCTCCTACCACTGCTGGCTGGAGCTGCCCGGAGAACTTCGAAGGCTGCCAGCCTCTCTGGAAGAGATGGCCGGGGACGTGGGCCTCATCTACTGCCAAGCCCAGGAGGTGCGCGGCCGCCCCATCCTCACCTGCCACCCGCTGCTTCCTGCAGCCCTCAGATGCCCCCCACACCCCTTGCCGCCCAGATTGTTCTAAGCCATCAGTGTCCTGTTGCCACTCACGAGGCAGGCAGGCCCCGGGCATGCAGCAGGAACATGGCACCCCCAGCCTGTGCCCTAAGGCTTGCAGCCTGGTGGGAGACGTGGGCACTGAACAAAGGCACCCATTCTGGGAGGAGTGTCCTGGAGGAGACAGGGGTCAGGGTTGTCCAGAGTTGGGCCCGGCCTGACCCCACCCTCCTCCTACAGTTCCGCCCCTCCACGGCCCAGCGGGAGCTCCCGGTGCCCATCTATGTCACCCGGGGCAAGGGTCAGCGGCTGGACAACGCCCATACTCTCCATGGTGAGCCTGGGGACGGCAGGGCACGTGGGACAAGGCATGTGGCAGAGGGGAGGTGCCTCAGCGCCCTGCCTGACCTTCCCTAGTGACCCTGTACGACTGCGCCGTGGGCCACCCTGACTGCAGCCGCTGCCAGGCAGCTAATGGGAGCCTGGGCTGCGTGTGGTGCAGCCATGGCCAGCCTACCTGTCGCTATGGTCCTCTGTGCCCCCCCGGGGCCGTGGAGCTGCTGTGTCCCACTCCCAGCATTGACACAGTGAGCCCCCAGCCCTCCCACCTCCTCCCCATCTGCCCTACCCCCCCCCGACCCCCGCTGTCCTAACCTCACCTGGGTCAGACCAGCCCTGCTCAGGCCCCCAGGCCCTAGCAGCTCTGTCCCGCCTCAGGCCGGTCGGCTGGTTGGGTACCCCCCACTGCAGAGTGGATGTGGGTTTGGGAGACTCCATCATCATCCTTCCCTGCTGCAGATCGAGCCCCTGACTGGGCCCCCCGAGGGCGGCTTGGCCCTCACCATCTGGGGCACCAACCTGGGCCGGGACTTTGCTGAGGTACAAGATGCAGTGAAGGTGGCTGGCCGCCCCTGCAGCCCTGAGCCCTCTCTCTACCGCACCTCTGCCCGGTGAGGCATCCGAGCTGCCGGGGGCTGAGGGACGCCCTCCCGGGGAAGACCCTCGGAGAGTGGCTACCCAGAGAGAAGGGGGGCTTGCAGCCAAGAAATGCGGGCCCAGGTCAGAAGCGCCAAAGGAAGACCAGCCAGGGGAGGGAGAGAGAGGGGAGCAGGCAGTGAGAGGGGTGGCGGCAGGGGCGGGGCGGGGGGGGGGAGGTTCTGGGCATTGGCTCGCGGGTGGCCCACGGCTCCCCCTGAAGATGCGTCTGGTCCATGGGAGCCCTGAGCAGCTCCTGGGCCTCCATTCCCCAGGATTGTGTGTGTGACATCCCCCGCCCCTAACGGCACCACAGGGCCAATCCAAGTAGCCATTAAGAATCGGCCACCAGGCATCTCAACCCAGCATTTCACCTACCAGGTCAGCGCCACCCCAGGGTGGTACCCATGCAGGGGATAGTGGAAGAGAGGGGCAGGAGGGAAACCTAGGTGACGTCCAGGAGGAACACCATGGGATCTGAGTGATCATCCCGGCCACCAAGTGGAGGACCGGCCGCCAGTGCAGCAGGCGGGGGGTGGGGGGTACTGAGGGAGAGCAGGGACACCTCCAGGCACTAGCCGAAGCCAGGAAGCCCCAGGTTGGCGATTGGATCTCAGGACGTAGGGCTTGGGGGGCCTGGGAGGTGTAAGCCGTGGCGGAGGAGGAGGCCGTCCCGAGGGGCAGAGGGCGCCAAGGGCAGCTGGGAGGCTTCCGGGAGGAGGGTGCGGTCAGCTGGGGCCCGCAGGATAAAGCCGCAGTGCCTGGGGACTGGGGCCTAGGTGAACAAGTGTCAGGCCAGGCTGCCATGGCTGCCCCAGCCTGCTCTGTCCCTCAGGACCCCATCCTGCTGAGCCTGAGTCCCCGGTGGGGCCCCCAGGCAGGGGGTACCCGGCTCACTATCCACGGGCAGCACCTCCAGACAGGAGGCAGCATCAAGGCCTTCGTGGGTGGACAGCCCTGTCCTATGTGAGTATCTCTCCTCCCGGTCCCAAGCTGCTGGCCGTCAGCTGGGGCTATCCCCTGGGGGCCTCGCTACCTCCTTGTGTACGTGGGGGCAGTGGACTCAGGGCTCCCTAAGGCCCCCACCAAAGTCCAAGAGAAATGGTCACTGTGCCCACCCTTAATGGTCTCTGCCCTCATTGAGGGGGGCAACTTGGGTCTCTGGTGAGGTAGCCAGGCCCAGGCTCGAGCCCAAGATGCCAGACCCCTCTCCACCCTGCAGCCGGGAGCCGGTGTGTCCTGAGGCCATTGTGTGCCACACCATGTCCCAGGCCAGCCCAGGAGAAGCTGTGGTTCGAGTGGTCTTCGGCCACGCCCAGCGCACGCTGCTCACCAGCCCCTTCCGGTACACTGCCAACCCGCAGCTCGCGGCGGCGGAGCCCAGCGTCAGCTTCCGGGGGTGAGGACCTCGTCCGCGGCACGCAGCCTCGGCTCCGGCCGGGGATGTGGGGCTGGCCCGGGCCACCCGCCGCCCCCCACCCGCCGCGGCTAACTACTGTCCTGACATAGGGGCGGGCGGCTGATCCGCGTCAGGGGCACGGGCCTGGACGTGGCGGAGCGGCCCTTGCTGTCTGTGTGGCTGGAGGCCAAGGCGGAGGTGCAGGCGGCAGGGGCCCAGCCCCAGGACCCGACCCTGAGGAGGAGCTGTGGGGCCCCCGCTGCGGCCCCCCAGGCTTGTATCCAGCTCGAGGGGGGCTTGCTGCAGGTGTGCACCCCACCGGCAGGTGGCAGGGCTGCTCTTGCCCAGTGGGCCGGGGGATAGGTGGGGGGGAGCCACTTTGCCCCCTGGGAGCGAGCCAAGAAGCCCCAGCTCACCCCTCCTTGTCCCTCGCAGTGCTCCACCGTCTGTTCTGTCAACTCGTCCAGCCTCCTCCTGTGTCAGAGCCCCGCTGTGCCAGATGGGGCGCACCCCCGGCGGGTCTTCTTCAGCCTGGACGGCGTCCACGTAGACTTTGCCAGCGCCAGTGGGGGCCAGGACTTCCTGTACCAGCCCAACCCCCGTCTGGCCCCCCTCAGCCGCGAGGAGCCCACCCGCCCCTACCGCCTCAAGCCGGGCAATGTCCTGGACGTGGAGGTGAGGGCGTCCTGCGGGCCGGCTCTGTGCAGGGACCGCGGGCATGGGCCGGGCGCCCCGGCTCAGGCCCCTGGTCTCTCTCCCAGGGCCAGGGCCTCAACCTGGGCATCAGCAAGGAGGAAGTGCGCGTGCACATCGGCGATGGCGAGTGCCTGGTGAAGACACTCACGCTCACCCACCTGTACTGCGAGCCACCCTCCCGGGCCCCGCAGCCCGCAAATGGCTCCGGTACCCTGCCACAGTTCGTGGTGAGGCGGGGCTCCGGGCGCAGAGGGGGCTGGGCAGCCAGGGCCCTGAAGGCCCGCACTCAGGAACCCTGACCGCCCCCCCCCCCACCATCAGGTTCAGATGGGCAACGTGCGCCTGGCCCTGGGCCCCGTCCAGTATGAGACTGAGCCCGCTCTGTCCGCCTTCCCCGTGGAGGCCCAAGCGGGCCTGGGTATGGGCGCTGCCGTGCTGATCGCCGCCGTGCTCCTCCTCACCCTCATGTACAGGTGGGAGGCTCCTCCCCGTCATGCACGCGCCTGCGCAAACTTCCCACCGCGCTTTCCGAAAGGCTTGGTGGCCTCGGGGCCCTGGCCGGCGCGGGCCTGTGGCTCACACCTGGTCCCCCCGGGGCTGCAGGCACAAGAGCAAGCAGGCCCTGCGCGACTATCAGAAGGTTCTGGTGCAGCTGGAGAACCTGGAGATTGGTGTGGGCGACCAGTGCCGCAAGGAGTTCACAGGTGGGGAGAGGGCGGTGGGGAGGGGCACAGAGGGCCCACCTGGGCCTGAGCCCACACCTTGGTGGCTCCTGGCCTGCAGACCTGATGACCGAGATGACCGACCTCAGCAGCGACCTGGAGGCCAGTGGGATCCCCTTCCTGGACTACCACACCTACGCCGAGCGAGTCTTCTTCCCAGGGCATGGCGGCGGCCCACGGCAGCCAGCACTCGAGGGGTCTGGGGAGGAGGGCCGCCGTGGCCCCGTGCGCCAGGGCCTCACGCAGCTCTCCAACCTGCTCAACAGCAAGCTCTTCCTCCTCACAGTGAGGGCTGTGCGGGTGGGCGGGCCTCGAGGGGCGGGGAAGTGGGGCTGGGCGCGGGCTGGGCCGGGCAGCAGGTACGGGCACGAAGGTGGGACGATGTGTGGGACGCCCCTGCCCCCAGCTCATCCACACCCTGGAGGAGCAGCCCGGCTTCTCCCAGCGGGACCGCTGCCACGTGGCTTCTCTGCTGTCTCTGGCACTGCACGGCAAGCTCGAGTACCTGACTGACATCATGAGGACGCTGCTGAGTGACCTGGCCGCCCATTACGTGCACAAGAACCCCAAGCTCATGCTGCGCAGGTCGGCTTGGGCCGGACCACGGGCCCGGAAGCAGGGGTGGTGGCTCCCCGCTGAGCCACACCCCACCCTCCCCCACCCCGGCCCGGTCCTGGGGTGGGCAGGGCCAGGAACGCCCAGGAGGTGGGCTAGGACAGAAGCCACTGGGAGGGAAGCGGACGGGCCTCTTTCCCAGGGACGTGGGCACGAAGGGCTGACAGGTGGAAAAGCTCTGCCTTCCCTTGTTTGCCCAGCTCAGCCCGGTGCCAGGGGGGTGGGGGGTGGGGCCTGCAGCAACACCTCTCTGACCTGGGGCCCGCTCCCTGCAGGACAGAGACCATGGTGGAGAAGCTGCTGACCAACTGGCTGTCCATCTGTCTCTATGCCTTCCTGAAGGTGAGGGGCACCCTGGCTGACGCCTTCTCCCCTCGCCTCATTTCAAGGCTGCTGCCTGGGGCCTCACCGACCCAGGCGCGCATTTCCCCGGGGCCCTGGGGTACGAGGCGTGGGAACGGGCAGGGCTGGGGGTGGCGCCGAGGCCGGCTGTCTTCGTCCTCCCTCCGCACAGCTGACTGCCCCTCCCTGCAGGAGGTGGCTGGTGAGCCGCTGTACATGCTCCTCCGGGCCATACAGTACCAGGTGGACAAGGGCCCCGTGGATGCCGTGACTGGCAAGGCAAAACGGACCCTGAACGACAGCCGCCTGCTTCGGGAGGACGTGGAGTTCCGGCCCCTGACGCTGATGGTGCTGGTGGGCCCCAGGGCCGGCGGGGCGGCGGGGAGCAGTGCTGCGCAGCGCGTGCCCGCGCGGGTGCTCGACACAGACACTATCACCCAGGTCAAAGAGAAGGTGTTGGACCAAGTCTACAAGGGCACCCCCTTCTCCCAGAGGCCCTCAGTGCACACCCTAGATCTTGGTGAGAGAACCAACCACCCGTCCCTGCACGGGGCTGTCCCCACCCGGAGATGCTCAGCCCTGCGCTGCTCCACGCGGTGGGCGGCGGGCGGGGCGGGGCGGCTCCGGCCTTGTCACCCTGAACGCACGACCAGTGCAGACTCGGGGGACAGGCTGCAGGCTAATCGGCTTCACTGGGTGTCCCCAGAGTGGCGCTCGGGCCTTGCTGGCCACCTAACCCTGTCAGATGAGGACCTGACCTCGGTGACCCAGAACCACTGGAAGCGACTCAACACCCTACAGCACTACAAGGTGCCAGGCTGACAGGGGCTGGGGGGGGCGGGCTCCCACCTCTGGGTCGGCCAGGGAAGGAGCCCAGCCTCCATTCACCTTCCCGCCAGGTCCCGGATGGAGCCACCGTGGGGCTCATCCCCCAGCTGCACAACGGAGGTGCCGTCTCCCAGAGCCTGGCCCAGAACTGCCCCTTGGGGGAGAGTGAGTCCTCTGGCCCCAGAGCTGGAAGTGGGCAGGCAGGAGTCCCGGGCACGCCGTGTGCCTCGCCTGGGTGTCCCCGACACCTTGCCAGGGGGCGAGCCCAACCTCTAGGCTGGGCCAAGGACCTGGGGCGGATGAGGCCAGCAGCTCGTCCTGGTAGGGGAGCTCTGGGACCATGGGGGGGGGTGGGCTGAGCTCTTTTCCCCTGCCTTCCTCGGCGCCCGCCACCCTGCCCCGTGGCCAGGTGTCCCCAGCCAGTGGTGTGGGATAGGGCACCGGGGCGCAGCCTGAGGCCAGACTCCTGGGCCCTCAGACATTCCCATGCTGGAGGATGCTGAGGAGGGTGGGGTCCGCCTCTGGCACCTGGTGAAAGCCTCTGACGAGCCGGAGGGAGCGAAGGCGCGGCGCAGCAGCCTGAGGGAGCGCGAGCGCGAGCGGGCGCGGGCCAAGGCGATTCCGGAGATCTACCTCACCCGCCTGCTCTCCATGAAGGTCGGTGTGGCTGGGGGGCTAGGCCCCTGACTGAGCCGGGGGGGGGGGGGGGGGGCGTGGTCCTGGGAGCTAGAGAGGTGGCCTGACCCCCTGCCGGGGACCGGCCCTGGCCCACACCTGCCTCCCACACAGACCGTCCCCCCCGTCCCCCCCCGCCTTCCAGGGCACGCTGCAGAAGTTCGTGGATGACACCTTCCAGGCCATTCTCAGCGTGAACAGGCCCGTGCCCATTGCCGTCAAGTACCTGTTTGACTTCCTGGACGAGCTGGCCGAGAAGCATGGCATCGAAGACCCGGAGACCTTGCACATCTGGAAGACGAACAGGTACGTCGCCTGCTGGCCCCCAGCCCATGCAGATGGGACGTGGAGTCGCAGAGGGGTAAGGGCATGGCCCACGAACCCAAGCTTGGTGGCATCCACCCTGCATTTCTGACACGGACCCGCAAGACAGCTCCCTGGGGAACTCAGGTCTGGGGCCCAGGCCAACGGTGCCCATGGCTGGTCTGTGTCCCCAGCCTGCTGTTGCGGTTCTGGGTGAACGCCCTGAAGAACCCACGGCTCATCTTTGACGTGCGGGTGTCAGACAACGTGGACGCCATCCTCGCCGTCATTGCCCAAACCTTCATTGACTCCTGCACTGTCTCAGAGCATAAAGTGGGCAGGGTAAGGAGTGAGGACGAGGGGCTCCCGGGGTAAGCCATGGAGGCTCAGCAAGGAGCCCTGAGTGGGGCTGGGAGGGGTGGTGCATAACGGGGGCCAGGGGGTGCATTCAGGGTGACAGGGCCGGAGCTCCCCCCCGCCCCGCCCGCCTCCCCGCTCAGGCCCACTCCTACCCGGAGCAGGATTCCCCAGTGAACAAACTGCTCTATGCCCGGGAGATCCCTCGCTACAAGCAGATGGTGGAGAGGTAGGTGTTGGGGCATCAGGGCTGGGGGGTGGCGGCTGCCTGGCCCTAACTGTGTCTCCTCTGCCAGATACTACTCCGACATTCGCCAGAGCTCTCCCGCCAGCTATCAGGAGATGAACTCGGCTCTGGCCGAGCTCTCTGGGGTGAGGCACGGCCCAGGGGGCACACCCCTCCACCTTTGGGTGGGTGCAGGGGGGAGGGGGGAGGGTTGGGGTTTAAGGTCCAGGCTGGAGCCTCACCCCTCCATGCGTGGTCCCCAGAACTACACCTCTGCTCCCCACTGCCTGGAAGCTCTGCAAGAACTCTACAACCACATCCACAGGTATTATGACCAGGTGAGGCCCAGGGTCCTCCGGGGGGGGGGGGGGGAGGGGCACGCCCCCAGAGCCCAGAGGGAGGCCCCGGGAATCTCCCTGGGGATGGAAGGAGGTGTCTAGGCCAATCTGGGCAAGAGGGGAGGAAGGGCCCAGTTTGGGGAAGAGGCGTGGCTTCTGTGCAGATGCCTCAGGGAGGCCTGGGGCGGCCCCTGCCGGATCCCCAAGCCGCTGCTGAGATGGACTCAGGGCTGGGGGGCCCTGGGCTAATGGGCAGAGGGCAGAGGCCTCAAGCGAGGCGCCCTCCTCTGCTCTGGCAGATCATCAGCGCCCTGGAGGAGGACCCTGTGGGTCAGAAGATGCAGCTGGCCTGCCGTCTGCAGCAGGTAGCAGCCCTGGTGGAGAACAAGGTGACTGACCTGTGAGCTTGGGCCCTCGCGGACGCCCAAGGCCCGCCAGCCTGGAGAGGAGCAAGCAGGACCTCCCACCGCAGTGCCTTAGGACCCCTGGAGGGAGACAGCAACTGAGGAGGGGCCGGCGGAGAGCGGAAGGGGGTTGTGCCCACCGAGGGGCTCCCTGCCGCCTCCCACCCACCGGCCCTTCGCCCGGCTGTTCCCCTACCTGGGCTTCTTTCTAATTTATAGTAGTCCTCACCTCTTCCCCTCCACCTCCCCCACAGTATTTATTTGCTTGCTGGAGAATCACATCTGGAAATAAAATAGAAAAACATCTTTTTAGAAAAAGTCCAATCCCAGCCCCTGCCTTTCCCCGCGAGTCTACTCAGTGCTCCCTTGCTTGGCCCTCCCCTTGGCCCCATGGCTGTGACCTCTGCCTGAGAAAGAGGGATCGTCAGGCACCCCCAGGCCATGCTCTCTCTCCCTCGCCTCCCCTCTGCCCACCCTTCCCTACCAGTTCTTTCCCGGCCCAGGGAAACAGGACCAAGTGTCTCCCATCTTGGGCTAACCACAGTCACTGCCGAGCCCCCTTTGCTTCTTTCGGACTCCCTGACAGTCCCCAGCTGGACTCCCGACTCCACACGTGTCCCCCTCTGTTCCCTCCTGGTCGCAGCCAGAGTGATCTTTCTAAAGAGCAAAAGTGCCCCTCAGCCTCCACGGCAATCTCACACTAGTGCCCACACACACTAGTGCCCACGGGCTCCGGGTAGGACCCTTAGCTGCCCAAGGCCTTCCCGCCTCTCTCCCACCCCCAGCCACTCTGTGGCCAAAGAGGTCTCCCGTCCATCCAGCTGTAGGCCTCACCCCAGCCAGGCTCTGCGCCACCCTGGAAGCTTACCCACCCATCCCTTTCTGGGGGAGTCGACTCTTTCTGGTCCCTTGTACGTGGCCCCAAAGTCCCAGGCTCCAGAGGGCTCTGCCCGACCCGGAAGTCCCTCTGTCACCAGCCTGCCTGTTAGAGCTAGAGGAGGACCCCTGAGGACAGGGCCAGGGTGGATGGTTCCCTGTGCTTCCCACAAGGACCTGGGAGGGAGGCCACAAGGTGTCAGCGCTAGAGTCCTGAGCGGGCAGGTTCCCAGGATCCGACAGTGTCCGGGCCCCTCTGGGGGGAGGACCCAGTTGCCTTCAGCTCATGCCCCTGACTCAGTCAGCCAGAATCCCCGGCGACAGACACCATGTTCAGAGAGAGGAGAGCTCCAGCCTGTCTAAGGGGTTAATGAGCCTCAAGAGAAGTGGGAACCTGGCTGAGAGGGGGCGGGGAATGGGGTACCCATGGGAATGGGAAGCGTCACCTTTGGAAAGGCTACAACAAAGGCCAAGCAGGAAGCCAGGGAATGTTCCAAGAGTGTCACTGGTGCAGTAGGGCATGTGCGGTGGGGGGCGGGGGGGGGCTCAACATGAAGACCAGGCTGTCCACTGCCCCCCTCAGCTGACTCCAGCTCTGGAGTGTGGGGACGGAGCCCAGGAAGCCGGTCGCTGACACGTCCCCACTCAGTGGGCCCCCTCTGCCACCCCTGGGGCACAGGGGCTGAGCCGAGGGACTGGGTTGCTGCATCCTCTCGTGGCTGCCCCCTTGGTCCTGGGGCCCCCCTTGGGACCGTGTGGGGGTCCCCCTTGGCGCAGGGACTTAGCGTGGAGGCTGGGTCGCGCCACGTCCCCACCGTGGCCCCCTATGCCAGCCGTGGGGCGGGGGCGGGGGGGGGGGCGCCTGGTCCTGGGGGCCAGGCTCTCCTGGGCCACCGTGGCCGCACCGCCTCCTCCCCGCCGCATACCTTGCCCACAGCCGAGCAGCTGGGAGGCTATTTATAAAGGCGGGTGAGATCAGCGGCCGAGGCTATAAATGCGCGGGCCGCAGCCGGGCCCCACAGGAGCAGCCGCCTGGGGCGCGGGAGCTGCGGGCCGTGCGGCCGGGATGAGCGCCAGCGCGGGTGGCGGCGGCGGCGGGGACAGCGGCAGCAGCAGCAGGTAGGGCTCGGCCTGGGCGCCCGGGTTGGGGGGGGGTGTGCCCGGCGCCGCGGCCACTCACGGCCCGCTCACCCCACCCGCAGCTCGCAGGCCTCCTGCGGGCCCGAGTCCTCAGGCTCCGAACTCGCCCCCGCCGCGCCGGCGCCGCGGATGCTGCAGGGGCTGCTGGGCTCCGATGACGAGGAGCAGGAGGACCCCAAGGACTACTGCAAGGGTGAGGCCTGGCCTCGGGTGCGAGCGGCCAGGTGGCGGCTGAGGGACACAGGGGCGGCGGCGGAGGAGGAGGGTGCTGAGGCCGGCCCACGTGGGCCCTGGGGCCGGCGGGGCTGGGCTCTGCGGGGGCGGGGCGGGGGGGGGGGACACCCAGGCAGGCGACACCGCCCATCGCGCCACCCACCGTGCCGTCTGGGCTCCCTTCGCCAGGCGGCTACTACCCCGTGAAGATCGGCGACCTGTTCAATGGGCGGTACCACGTGGTGCGCAAGTTGGGCTGGGGCCACTTCTCCACTGTCTGGCTCTGCTGGGACATCCAGTAAGTGCCCCCTCCAGCCCTCCCCCCAGGGCCCAGGGTCAGCTAGGAGCCTACCCCTGGGCTTGGGTGGGGCCACCACAATGTCCCCATGGGTCGGGCCGGGTGGCAGCCGACGACGCAGAGCTTGGTGTTGCAGGCGCAAGCGCTTCGTGGCCCTGAAAGTGGTGAAGAGCGCGGGGCATTACACGGAGACCGCCGTGGATGAGATCAAGCTCCTGAAATGTGTGAGGCGCCTCCCTCCCGGCTCCTGGCTCCCGGGCAGGGCGGGGTTCCCGCAGGGGGCAGGCTCCAGCTGGCTCAGCCCGGGAGGACCTGCAGGAGCAGGCCAGGGAGGGGGAGAGGAGGGCCAGAGGTGTCCCGGGGGTGCCGAAGGGAGAAGCTGGTGAGGGGCAGGTTGGAGCCATTTGTGGCCCCTTTGCTCCAGGTCCGAGACAGTGACCCCAGTGACCCCAAGAGAGAGACCATTGTCCAGCTCATCGATGACTTCAGGATCTCAGGGGTGAATGGAGTCCGTATCCTTCCCACGATGAGCCGAGCCATGTGGCAACAGCTGCCGTCCCAGCTGCTAGGGCCTCAGTCTCCTGATCGCACGACGGGGGCTTACCCCTCCCAGGGACACTAGTCTACACAGTAGCCCACCGCTTTGGGGGTTTGTGTCTATGTGGCGGGGGTAGGGGGGCGGATGACCAGGCTGACACCGGTTACCCATGGGCATTGCTGACTGACCCCCCACACGGCAGGGGCCGCCTCTGTGGCGGTGCCCTGTCTCAGGGATGAGCACAGAAGGTCACCATCCCAACTGGCGCATGGGAGAGGGACAGGGACGGGGACGCTGTAGTGACACCGGAGCCTCGGGTGGGTGGCACCTGCGCCCCAGCTGTGTGTCTGCTGGCCACCCTTCACTCCGGGCCCCAGATGTGTGCATGGTGCTGGAGGTCCTGGGCCACCAGCTCCTCAAGTGGATCATCAAGTCCAACTACCAGGGCCTGCCCGTGCCCTGCGTGAAGAGCATCGTGAGGCAGGTGAGCGTCCTGCACTCTGCGTGAGCAGGGTGGGAGGCAGCCGGCACAGGGCCGCTGAAGTGCAGGGGTGGCTCTCCCCAGGTGCTGCACGGCCTGGACTACCTCCATACCAAGTGCAAGATCATCCACACAGACATCAAGCCCGAGAACATCCTGCTGTGTGTGGGTGACGCCTACATCAGGCGCCTGGCCACCGAGGCCACAGAGTGGCAGCAGTCAGGGGCACCACCCCCATCCCGCTCCACAGGTAGCAAGAGCCTGTGTGGGTCCAGGGTGGGGCCTGTGGGCCTCAGCCCCTGCCTGAGTCTCTGCTCCTTTCTCTCCCCCCAATGCCCCATCTGCCCCCCCAGTCAGCACTGCCCCCCAGGAGGTCTTGGTAAGTTGGGGTGCCCCTCTTTTCCTGGGCCTCATCTCCCCATCTCCTCAGAGCTCCCTCCTCGGCCTCTCTGGTCCCGCCCCCCCCCACCCCGGGAGGAAGGTGATACACAGGGTGGGTCATATGCCCTAAACTGCCCTTGGTGGCTGCTGGGCTTCCTACTGCCTCGGTGGAAGGACACTGCATCTAGGGCCAGGAGGGGAGGCCAGCGCCCAGCCAGAGGCAGGCCCATCAGTTCCTCCCCAAACTCGAGCTTTGGGGAGCAGAGTGGGGGAGGGAGGCAGGAGGCAGGTGAAGGGCTAGTGCCAAGGGGTGGGCTGGAGTGGGTTGGCACCACATTTACTCATCCAAAGTAGCCCGGGGGGGGCGGTGCCTGGGTGGCTACGTAGGTGGAGCGTCTGCTTTTGGCTTGGGGCTCAGGTCATGATCTCAGGGTCCTGGGATCAAGCCCCATATCGGGCTCCCTGTTCCATGGGAAGCCTGCTTCTCCCTCTGCCCCTCCCCCTGCTTGTGTTCCCTCTCTTGCTGTGTCTCTCTCTGTCAAATAAATAAATAAAATCTTTAAAATTAAAAAAACAAAGTAGCCCTGGGGCCCGTTGGCCTTGGCCCCCGTGAGGCGAGCAGGCCACAGGTAGAGGCTTGGGCTGGTCAGGGCGTGGGCGACGCGAACCCGGGGCTGACCCTGGCTCTGATGGCAGACTGGTAAGCTGTCGAAAAACAAGAGGAAGAAGATGCGGCGCAAACGGAAGCAACAGAAGCGGCTGCTGGAGGAGCGGCTGCGGGACCTGCAGAGGCTGGAGGCCATGGAGGCGGCGGCCCAGGCTGAGGGTGAGGGGCCGGAGCGCGCCCCAGCAAGCGCAGGCCACCGGGGCCAACTGCTCACACACCGCCTCTGCCCGTCTCCCCAGATGCTGGCTCAAGGCTAGAGGGGGGCAGCGGCTCCACCTCCTCTTCCGGCTGCCACCCTGGGGGGGCCAGGGCCGGCCCCTCCCCCGCCTCCTCCTCCCCAGCGGCCGGGGGCGAGCGCAGCCTCAGCCCAGGCTCCCAGACCTCAGGCTTCTCGGGCTCCCTCTTCTCTCCGGCCTCGTGCTCCATCCTCTCAGGCTCCTCCAACCAGCGGGAGACCGGGGGCCTCCTGTCCCCCAGCAGTAAGTTGGGCAGGGCCTGCGGGAGGGCTTGGTGGGAGGATGGCAGGGAGCTGGCAGAAGGGGCTGGGGGTGGGGCCCGGCCAGCTCAGTCTCTCCCCCCTCCTCTTCCTTCCCCAGCACCGTTTGGTGCCTCGAACCTCCTGGTGAACCCCCTGGAGCCCCAAAACGCAGACAAGATCAAGATCAAGATCGCAGACCTGGGCAACGCCTGCTGGGTGGTATGAGCTGGCCTGGAGAGCA